CAGGGGACTTAGTGAGGTATTCAACATCCAAAGGGTTATCCAAATCATATCAGGGCCATCCTAGAGAAATTCTGCCCTTCTCCAAGAATTGTGACCCTAAGCATGCCAGCCTCCCTCTGGAAGTCAAAATCTCTCAATGGGAAGACTTAATTGTCTTTCCCATTCCAACAGCGTCTTTCAGTGTGAACCAGAGCCCCTCCAGGTGGAAAGGCAAGAGGGTCCCTCCCTCTCCCCACCTCGCATTTTAGTATCCATAAGCTCCCCACAGTGTCCCAGAGTCAGTCTTGGGGGCAAATGGACTCCCTGCCTTGCATTATCACAGTAGCCAGACCCTGTACAAATCACATCCACATAACTATAGACCCCCTGTGCCTAACCCCCATGTAAGAGTTTCTTTGACATCATCCGAGACATTTGTTGTATTTCAGGGGTCAAGATCATCTCAGGTCCTCCAGTCACAGTGGTAGCTTCAGTCAAGGATCCACAACAAGGTAGTAAATGTCACTCGGGAAATTCTCCAGTCCAAACTCCCAATAAATTTCGAAAGCAAAGCTTCACTGGCTGTTACCCCCAACGCTCATCTAGGCTCCACATGGGGCTACCACACAGGGAAGGTGTCTCCTCCACCCCCAGCAAAAGTGCTGCAGCCTCTGCTCCACATGTGTCGTCTCGGACTAAGTTCCTGACTCACTGATAACATGTTCCATTGGAATCGCTGGAAGAGAAGATTTCCCTGCCTCCTGTTTTAAATCACAAGGTGGGGGAACATTCCCCAGTCAGAGTCAACATCCATCCTGTAACACTGTCAGGGGAAAGTCCCATGACCACTTCACAGGCAGCCTGTCCTAATGTACCCATAAATTTGTATCTGATGCCCATCAACCCTCACTTTCCTGACTGAAGCCTTCAGCAGGTTCTGGTTTACAACACTGAGTAAGGGAAGTACATGTTCCCCAGCCAGACATCATATCTGCTCCCATCAGGAATGGAGGTAAAGGAAGCACATCTTCTTCCCCTAACTGCCTGAACACCCCACTTTCCACGTCCTATCTACACTCATGTTTTTATGTTTTAATTCCATGGACTTCACCTAGCTGAGAGCCAAGAGACCTTGGCACTGTTGTTCATCCGGTCTTGATGAATCTGACAGCTGCATCAGGCCATGTCAGACCAGATTTCTCATTGTAATCTTCCTTTCTGACTTTTTAAACCTCCTCAGCTGAGGTTTGTTCAGCAAACTTGTTCAGAGTCATCTCATGTTAGATTGTATTAAAGAGTTCCCTTGGGTCTTTACAGCCGTCCAGTGTTTCACTAAACTCACTGACTTATGTTTAAAAAAAAAAAAAACATATATTTAGAATAAGCCAGATGGACTCGGTTTAGATGATGCCAATTGTGCTGGTGACATCAAAGCATCACAATCAGGAGCCAATGGAAACCGAACGACCACTTCCCTACAATAGACCTCATCAGGGGGTTGAACTTAGCACATCAATGTCACAGAGCAGCTTCTCCACAGCCTGTTTGTCTTGGTCATTATTGGCCTTGACACCCACATTGAGCACAGTTATGTGGTTCTCTATTTTTTCATGGACCAAGCCCAGGGAGAAGTCTTCCAAGGATATTTGTGCAGTCTCCAGAAGGAGTGTCCTGGGCCACACACACGTGAGTAATGTGTAGCCAGCAGCCTCTTTGCCCTTTGTTTGAGCTTCTGCAGAGAGCAATAACCACAGGATGGGGTAAACTGCTTTTGCTCCTCTGACCTTGCACTCCCTTCCTCATCCAGTGAACCACCTCCCCAGGGGTGGGATCCACCTCTAAATCCCAGTGGGACTCTGACTTCTGGTAACTGACTGCAGTAGAACAGGATGACCACGCAGCCACCCAGGAATCACAAATTCGCCATGCTCTGACTCTTTCTCCTCCCAAACCCTGGGCCTCTTAAGTCACGGAAATTCTAGTAGATCCCACTTCACTGACACCAACTCTGTGTAGACAACACCACACAACCCTCACTCAGTCTCAGACTCGGTTTCTCCCACAGCTCCCTCCCAACACAGCCCAAAGCTGTGGCCGGATATGTGGAAAATCTACCCACATTCCCAACAATCAGTTCTGAAGCCGCTGACACCAGCGGGGTGAACGTTCATTTAATTAGATTTGGTTCTGACCCTATCTTCCTGGAAAAAGCATAGGATCCCACAAATAGGGCCCAGTCCCCAGCACTGCCCCTACTTCAGAGCCAGGTGTAAGACTAATGGGCTTCCAATGAGGATTCCCAAAGCCCTGTCATCAGGCGTGGCTAATTTGCTGAGAGATTCATGGGATTCAGGGGAAAAGACTCTGCAGTACATTTTAAAGGCTAGAAATAGGTACCCACATGAGGGTGAGGGCTCGAGGGGCTCTGAGCCCATGGGCTCCAACCTGAGGGGTTGGGGTGGCCCATCCCAGCATATGGATAACTTCCTGTCTACCTTCATATGAACCCCCTCATGCCCAGTCGTCCAGAATCTCTGCAATCCCTGTGTTTGAGGGAGGTCTGTGGGGACCTCGCTTCAGGGCATGATTGCTTACACTGGGTAGGAACGCCAGCACGGACTCTTCAGCCTCCCTTCCACCAAGGAAGCTGCAGGAATCCTCTGGGATGTGAACCTACTATGGACAATCATATAGCAGAGAATTTCATTATGGCTGACAAAAGGCAAGGAGATTAGAGTTTCTGTGACCCACTATGGAGAACAGAATTCTAATTTCTATGCTTTAAGGAGAGAGTGATGAGCCAGGAACCAGGGACAGAAACCAAATGTATCTCCATATACAGAAATCCCATGTCTCACCAACATGAATCCATCTCCACAGGGAAGTTTGTCCTGCTCCCCAAACCACTGACTGCTCACATGCTCTGGGGTGGAAGATACAGCAATGGCAGCTGTTCTCAAAGTAACGGAACCATCTGTCACACTGGGATAAATCAGGGGACACTTATCTCCTGCAACATTGTATTAGTGCTGTGTTCTATGCACTTCCGACCAATTCTGTCAAAACACTGGGCTTGGAAAGTTGTACACAGACCCTTCTCATTCTGAAAGTTAAACCAATACAACAGCTGGTGGGCCCTCGGCAGTGCACTCCAACGGTGGGGTGTGGTGTTAGTGGTAAGCTACTCAACAAGCAACATCTGAGAACGTGACTCTGAGGGGACTGTCTTATCAGGAACTGTTCTGTTTGGGAGTGTGATAGCAGGTGGCATTTAGAGATTGATAAGAGCTATTATGGTCAGGATTGGCCACACATATATAAGCAGTGGCTCTTGTCTGCTGCTGCACACCTTCCACTAGTCCTGCCTTCTCCACTGACTTGGGAGCCAGGAGGAACCATGAAGTGGCTGCTGCTGCTCGGCCTGCTGGCACTCTCCGAGTGCATCGTACACAAGTGAGTCTGGGTATAGGCAGTGGGAAGAGCGGCTCCAAGGGGCAACTTCCTAGCCCTCTGCTCCCTCCCACATCCCATCTGTCTATCCCCATTCTCTTCCTCCCTCTCTTCCAACATCCTGAATATTCTTCTTGTTCCGCCCAAAAAGGAGGCCACACTGCAGTTGTGGTTAAAACCTAAGATGCTGAGTACAGCTGGGGTTTGGCTTCAGTCCCACCACTGTCCAACAGTTGCTTCCTTCTGTGCACTTTGGGTAACAGGTGGGAGACTCTCCCCTCCTCCTTCCTTCTCACCAGGACCAACTTCTGCATCTTTATAAGGCTTCTCTAGCATTCCCTGAGCAGGATCCTTGTCAATTACCCCTCCTCCCTTAACCATGCCTGCACCAATGCTCTGCCCCAGGGTCCCCCTGGTCAGAAAGAAGTCCTTGAGGAAGAACCTGATTGAGAAGGGCTTGCTGCAGGACTACCTGAAGACTCACACCCCCAACCTGGCCACCAAGTACTTCCCCAAAGAGACCTTCGCCTCAGTGTCCACTGAGAGCCTGGAGAACTACCTGGATGTGAGTGCGTGGGCAGGGGGAAGCGGCAGTCGCAAGGACTGAGCCAGGGGTAGAGAGAGTGACCGGGGGGCTTGGATGAAAGCCAGGGGCTGTGCCCTGATATCAGTAACATAGAGTCAGTCAGGAAAACTCAAAACTATCATTCTCATTTGCTTTTTACTCATTCATTCATTCTTTTTATACTGAGTGCCCTGTTATGTGTCAGATCTTATGCTGGGCCCAGGAAGACAATAATGAGCACAGTCTTGGTCAAGTAGGGGGACAGAGATGACCTCAGTGAGTCTCAGCACCCAGTGAGAAGGCAGTCTAGGATGAAGGCCACCAAGTGAAGGTGCCACTCAAAGAGTGAGTGGCTCCTACAGGGCAGGGAGACCTCATGAGAGCAGTGAAGAAAGAACAGGAGTTTCCAAGAGGAGAGAGTGACTTTTGGGGGAGCAGAGAGAGCTGCATTTTAGAAAGAACAGACTGCATGAGAAATACGGAGAGGAAAGGATGGCGATGCCAAGTTAGACTGTGGGTCCATGAGTGGGGTAGACCACAGGGAGGCCAGGGGCCAAGAGAGTATGAACTCTAACTGCCACAGATTGATCTCAATCAATGACGTGGTACAATCTGAGTCCCAAGACCTCTCTGACTTTTATTTAGGACACAATGGTATGCCCTGGACTTCCATGTCTTGGACTTCCTGGACATGGTGTCTTCTGTGTGGATAGCACACAGCCAAGGGTACAAATACCCTTACCAGTAGTCAAGGGCTTCGGCTCTCAGATCCAACAAACCTGCTGCAAATGGGGGTTCTAATGCTTGCAGGCCTGGTGATCTTGGGCAATATTCACATTCTCTTAGCCTTGGTGTCCTGGTCTACAGAACAGACTCACTCAGAGCCACCATCCACTGGCGGCTGCAAGTCACTAACACCACAAACCTTTGGGAGTGCTTAGCATGGGGTCCGGCAGGCTCAGAAACAACAGCCCACTTATTCATCTCACAAATACTCACAAAGTACCTGCTCGGTGTTGGTAGCTTCCACATGCTGAGGTCAAAACAACAAGCAAGCCAAGGTCCTGGGGCTTACTGTCAAGAGAGGAAGAAAAACAAAGAATCATATGAGATGCATTCAAGTAAAGAGAGGGGACACAACACATAATTATTTAATTAATTGGGCCAAGGGGAAGAAGAAACATAGGTGAGGGGGCAAATTTGAATGAAGTGGTGAAGAAGGCTTCTTGGTAGAGGTGACATTTGACAAGAGCTCTGAATGATGAAGAATGAGGCAGCCACGGAAAGATCCAGTAAAAAATTTTCCTAGCACAAGAAATAGCCAGTGCAAAGGTGTTGGGGTGGGAAGGATCTTGTCATTGTGCAAGAATAGCACAAACACTAGGGCAACTGAAGCAAAGCTAGCAAGGGAGAAAGCGCTGACACTGAGGATAAAAATACAGACAGTTCCCTTTCTTCAAATCTGCTGTCTGCACTGAGGTTTAGGAACAAGAGATCTCCCTGGGTTCCCATGTTTAAGTGACTTGTGTGCCTCCTGATCAGCAAGTTAGTGAACAGGCACCTCTGACCTGACTGGCTGGCTGCCACCAGCTACACCCCATCCTCTGAGAAGGTGTGCTCTCCAGGAGGGCGAGACAGACACAGGCAGGACACCAGCTGAGAGAGGACAGCAGATCAGCCTTGGGTGTGAATGCCCTTAGTAGAGAACAGTCAGAGGCAACCAGAGAGCAGTCAGAAAAGACTTCAAGGGAGAGTAGAGACCAGGGCTGGGCTTTGAAGGAGCATGCACTGGAAGAGGAGGTGAGACAAGAGGAGGAGAAGATGGAGAGGCAGACTGAGAAGCAGGTCTCCAGCAAGGGTTAGATGGGGAAGTCCAGGTCTTTGAGATGTGCTGTCCTCAACCCCTGCAGGCCGAGTACTTTGGCACCATCAGCATCGGAACCCCACCTCAGGAATTCACTGTCATCTTTGACACTGGCTCCTCCAACCTGTGGGTGCCCTCCACTTATTGTTCCAGTCTTGCCTGTTGTGAGTACTTGGCACTGCCCTCCCCTTGTAGCCCAGCAACAGCTGGCACTGGGAACACTGACCACTCAGGGACTTCTCACAGCTCCCATTTCAGCCTCTGGGAGCACTCAGAAATTCACACAACAGTGTGCTCAGTGTTAGTGCTCTGAGGGCTAAAGGGATGAACAGACATGGTCAGATGGACTCAGGGAGCAGAAAGCTTGCAGGGGCCCAAAGTGAGACTTGGAGGAAGGACTGCAGGCTGGCCAGCCATGCTGAGAATACCAGTGACTTAAAGTCACGCTGGCATTCACTGAAGATGAGTGAGCACGTCATTAACACACACACACACACATGAGTCTTTACTGTGCTAATGAAGGAGACTTTGTCATTGGAATTGACCACAACGTTTCAAGCTGTATCCTCTCCCAGCATTTTGACCTGAGTTTTCATCAATGTGGGGTACCTGTGGAATTGTCCATGTCCCAGCTGGAGCCTTGGCTATGCAGGGGCCTGTGACCGTGCTCAGCACCACTGGCAGCCAGGCTGCTGTGCTCAGTGTTGCCCTGGGGGATCTTGGGAGGACTCAGAGAAGGCTGGGACTGACCGCCTGTGAGATGGTGCCAAGAGCCCAACAAGTCCAGGAGGGAACCAAGGTCTCTAGAACCAAAGCCCATCTCACAAGTCATTTTGTGGGAAAGGTTACCTTTCACCACCGGAGCCCCACCAGGGTAAAAAATACCATCCCAGTAAGAAAGCCCCAGCCCACAACCCTTGCCCACACTTTTGAGCTTGACTATGTCATTTCCTGCCTTTGCAGTCCTGCATAAGCGATTCAACCCTGATGACTCCTCCACCTTCCAGGCCACCAGCGAGACGCTCTCCATCACCTATGGCACCGGCAGCATGACAGGCATCCTGGGATATGACACTGTGAAAGTGAGCACCTGTGGTCTCTTCCCCTTAACACTGCCTGGCCCAGGGGCCAGCTAACGAAACTTAGGGGGCCACAGTGACTCTCCCAGCACAAGCTCATTCCAGCAGTATGGATCTCCAAGATCACACAAGCCTCCTAATGGGCAATGCAGGGTGTGATGTAGTAGAGCTGTCATACACACTTGGGGAGCTAAGCTGAATAGATGAAAGGAGAGTGGTGCCTGGAGCCCTCAGCCAACCTTAGTGCTGAATGTCAGGTAGGAAGCAGGGTGAAGGGAAGAAAAGGCTGAATTTCTCTGAGCGTCTCCTCGTCTTTTACCTCCCTCTAGTCACATGAGCTCCACAAATCCTGTGGGAGTGGGAGGTGACAAGGGCCCTAATGTGCTGGGGACTGCTTTGCATCTGCCCATCTGAAATAGGCAAATGCACAATGACCATCCATCCTACAGTACAATCTCACAGCAAGTCACACACTGTGGCCATCTGGACATCAACTACAAAGGATCTGTGCAGTGAGGAGCCACAGCACTCCTGGGGAAAGTCCCTCACCCTGCCTTCCAGCATGATGCCCCAGAATCTGAGTCCTCCAAGAAATTAAGTAGGATGGTTATGGGTCCAGCAGAGCTCCATGGACAGGCTCTCATGGTGGACATCATCTCTGTCCTCTCATACAGGTTGGAAACATTGAAGACACCAACCAGATCTTTGGCCTGAGCAAGACAGAGCCAGGCATCACCTTCTTGGTTGCTCCCTTCGATGGCATCCTGGGTCTGGCCTACCCCAGCATTTCTGCCTCTGATGCCACACCCGTCTTTGACAACATGTGGAACGAGGGCCTGGTGTCTGAGGACCTCTTCTCCGTCTACCTGAGCTCGTAAGTTGCCCAAGACGAGGCCTCCTCCACACTTATCATTTTCACCTGGACCAGCAAGCAACTTATCCAGGGCTGGGTGGGCTGCAGAAGATCTTAGAATGAGAATTTCAAGGCCAACATCAAGGTCTATAGAAGAGTTTTCTCATTCTTATTCTCTCTCTCTCTCTCTCTCTCTCTCTCTCACAAACCATCTTGATTCATTATTATTTACCAGCATAAATTTTTGTCTCTTGAATTAATCAGCTGCAATGTCAATAATCAATTGTGGCCAGCGCCGCGGCTCAGTAGGTTAATCCTCCACCTTGCAGCGCCGGCACAACGGGTTCTAGTCCCGGTTGGGGCACCGAATTCTGTCCCGGTTGCCCCTCTTCCAGGCCAGCTCTCTGCTGTGGCCAAGGAGTGCAGTGGAGGATGGCCCAAGTGCTTGGGCCCTGCACCCAATGGGAGACCAGGAGAAGCACCTGGCTCCTACCTTCGGATAGGCGCAGTACACCGGTCAAAGCATGCCGGCCGCGGCGGCCATTGGAGGGTGAACCAACGGCAAAGGAAGACCTTTCTCTATGTCTCTCTCACTGTCCACTCTGCCTGTCAAAAAAAAAATAATAATAGTAATCAATTGCTCTCCAGTACTGGTTCCCTCATCTATGGCCCTCAAAGGATGCCGTTTAGAGTGAAACCACATTAATGCAGTGACCAAGATTCATAGCAAAAAATGAAAAGAGTTAATTAGGGCTTAGGAAGAGATTTCAAAAATTTTGTGACAAATGAAATTCAAAGATACACTTAGGGAATGGGTGTTAGTTTCCATGGCTCAGTTACTGCTTTGGGTACCCGTATCCCATATAGAGTGCCTGGTTTGGGTCCTGATTCCCCTGCTTGCAATTCAGCTCCTTTATACTACACACCCTGGATAGGAATAGGTGTGATTCACGTACTTGGGTCCCAACACCCACATGGAATACCCAGATTGAGTTCTGGGTTCCAGACTTACACCTAGGCTAACTCATGCTGTTATGGACATTTGGAGACTGAAGAAGTAATGGAAGATCCCTGTCTATCTTTCCCTATTGCCCTGCCTTTCAAATATTAAAAAAAAAATGCTTTGGTACAAATACTTTTAAACCCATGCATAATATTTTTATATGACACTGATTTTCCATGAACATTTTGTGGACTCCTTGGATATGCAGATTCCAAAACTTTTGGCACCAATATAAATTCTTTTAATATTATTTTTCTAGAAACTTTTTGATGTACTTTCGTATATCTTAAACAATTAAATTATAAAATAATGCAAATAAGTTTCTTTATTACTTATCAAAATGTAGGGTCAAATAATGAATGGAGAATAAACCAGGTGGGTTTTGGCTAAGTAGACTTTTATGCAAGAAGAGTCAAGGCTGTCACCAATTTTACTCTATCCCTCACGTCCTCCTCATGACACCGTTGGTCATCAGTCATGGTTTCCTTCAGATGTTAACAATTCTGCTAGATGTTGATTGTACTCACACACATACACCAAAGACGGGTGGGTTAAAGTGAGTGGGGCTGTGTTTCATAAATGGCCAGTTGGTGACCAATTTCTCATTACCTTCTATAATTGCATCTCTACCACCCTGAAATGGCAGAGATTTAGGAAATGGATTTGCAATAACAAAGACCCCCAACATAAGGCTCTTTTATCCTTTGTGCCCCTAGGCCACTCAGTATTCAGGTTTCTCTTGATCCTCACCTGCTCAAATGAGAACTAAAGTATCTCTTGTGAGCCACTGCATCTCCCCATTGAGATGAAGGTCACTCAGCTCAGCACCATAGGCATTTTAGTTCAGAGTATTTTTGGGGCTGTCCATGGCACTCTTTAGGATATTTAGCAGATCCCTGACATGACCCCTTGGAGCTCAGTAGCACCACCAACATCCAGACAATAAGAACTGTCTCCAGATATTGAAAATACTTACACTGGCTGAGAACAAGGGAACTACACCATTGAGTCCTTAGGAACCAAATCTGTCCACTGTTCACTTCTCTTGTGGTCCCCATGGCAACCATAATGAGTATCTGGGTATATACAGCACATTTGGGAACTCAAAAATTCCAGGCTCTACTTTTGGCTGCCACTCCCCTCTGTGTGACCTTGAGCAAACTGCCTTACTTCTTGACCCTCAGAGATTTTGTAAAGTGGAAATAATAATAATACTGAACACTGCCTAGACCTGGTATAACTTTAAGAGTACTCATGTCTGTCACACATTCAGCA